CATTTACCATGACCTACAGATCATTTCAATGCAATGAGTTGCAGCAGTTGTAGGACCTAGTTTATTTGTTTCTTTGTTTCTAAGAGATCATGGTCCTTTATTGCTAGATATTAAATGTCTTGGAAACAGTTGCTGTACATATTTTGTGTAACTATTTTGGTCGTTTTAGGTGAAAAGATAAATTCTACTCCTCTTACTCCATTTTGGCAAACAGCAGAGTCCCTGTTCATTCATTCTACATTGATCATGCATAGGTTGAATGCCTTCTCTATACCAGTTATTGTATTAGGCATTTGGATAGCTACAATGTTTTGCCATTGAAACATTGAAAGAGAGAAAAAATGTATAACCTCAGGAAAGACACAACAAAACTTTGAAAAGGGTGGACAAAAGTTATAGCCAACAGCTTGACAGAAAAGAGAAGAAAATTAAAACAAACAAACAAAAAAGCTTTAATGAGCCCACACTAACTCAGATTACCATATATGGCAGTACACCTCTTCAAAAATCTATAACATTGCAATGTTCTGAAACAATATCATAATATTGGGAGTCTATTACAATGGTAATGAAAGAGATGGTTTCCAACATTCAACTTCTCAGAGAAAAGTAGAGAATCATATTTCAAAAGGATTCACCTCAAAAAAATAATAATGATAACCCAACCCAAGTATCAGGAACAATCACTTCTTTCTTATTACATTTTTATTATTATACATTAGGTTCTGGAGTACATGTGCAGAATGTGTAGGTTTGTTACATAGGTATACACATTCCATGGTGGTTTCCTGCATCCATCACTCTGTCATTTATATTAGGTATTTCTCCTAAAGCTATCCCTCCACTATCCCCCCACCCCCTAGTCTCTCAACCCCTCCACTAGCCTCAATGTGTGATGTTCCCCTCTCTATGTCCATGTGTTCTCATTGTTCAACACCCACTTATGAGTGAGAACATGTGGTGTTTGGTTTTCTGTTATTGTGTCAGTTTGCTGAGAATGGTGGTTTCCAGTTTTTCCATGTCCCTGCAAAGGACATAAACTCATCCTTTTTATGGCTGCATAGTATTCCATGGTGCATATGTGCCACATTTTCTTTATCCATTCTATCATTGATGGGTGTGGGCATTTGGGTTGGTTACAGGTCTTTGTTATTGTAAACAGTGCCACAATGTACATATGTGTGCATGTGTCTTTATAATAGAATGATTTTTCATCCTTTGGGTATATATCCAGTAATGGGATTGCTGGTTCAAATGGTATTTCTATTTCTAGGTCCTTGAGGAATCACCACACTGTCTTCCACAATGGTTGAACTAATTTACACTCCCACCAACAGTGTAAAAGCAAGGAGCAATCACTTCTAAAGAAAAGCTCATCAAGATTCAACTGTTCCTAGGCATGAATGTGTGATTAATTAAAAGGACTTTTGGGGTATTAAAAAAAGCAAATTCGGCATGGTTTTGGTTTCAAGTAATTTCTTTTTGTGACACTGCACGTAAATATTATTAAAATCAATGTCTCATGGGACTATTTTTGATAATCTCCCTCTGGCCACCTTCCATCCGTAATTCTCTATTTGTTTTAATTAATAACTGCTGTGAGGTAGGTACCTCCATAAGAGGTTTCTGACATCTTATAAAAATCCATCCACTCCTTGTCAACCCCAAGGAGGGTGAGACTGAAAGAGCAGAGCCGTGCTGCTGAATTCCCTTGTCAGTTTTTTCAGATGGCACTGGTTTCATGGAGAGAAGATTGCACACTATGTAAAGTAACTCTTCACTTTATTCCACTAAAATAACAGAGATGAGGCATTGTTTTCAAGAGATACTCTATTGAAGTTTTCCTTATATTTAAAGTCAAATGTCACAAAAGCTCAGAGACCTTAGAGAGGGGAGGGAAAGGAGAGTTGAGAAAAGGTGAGAATATAGAAGCCTAATTGAGGATCCAAGGAGGGCAGTTCAGTGGCTGAAATTTAACTGATGAGGAGTCATAGTCCGTAAGTGAGAGACAAAGGTGTTGTTTCGGACTCTAGGGCAGTAAAGAGAAATTATACTTCTTAAAGTGATTTAGGGAGAATTTGGAAGTGGAACATGTTTAATTGGAACAGTTAAATGTCTTTTGGTTATACAGGAAAAATCCATAGGATATATTTCTTAATGGAACGGGTAGTCTACCACAAGATAAAAGAAAATCAGGATGAGAATACCTGGAAAATGAGCCAGTTGACAAATACTAGACTTAATATTTACATAGGATGATACACTTTTCTTCTCCAGCTTTCAAGATAATGGCACCTAGTCTTCAATTCTACATGAGCCCCAATTGGTAGTATGACCCCCCAAAACCTTCTGTACATCAAAGTTTAAAATGAATCCTGGATTACTAGTAAGTTTTATGTCTTTTCCTGGGGATTACCAACTATAGGCTGCTGTAGGAATCTCTAAACTATGAATTGATTTGTTTAAACAAAATTTGCTATGTTCCTTCTATTTCCAAACAGAGGTGAACTATCCTTATGCAGATATGTGAAGGGTGAAATCCCAATATGAAAGTTATTTAATATTAAATTTAGTGAAAGAAAACAGTTGGAAGATAACATAAATTTATACGTGGCACTTTTGATAAAGAGGAATTAAGCAATACATTCAGTGGAGATTTTATGGCTGGAAAAAAATTCTGATTATTTAAAAGAGTCATGGGATTATTTTTATAAATTGTTGAATACAAAGTATCTTTTAAGTGTGGATTTAATTAGTATTGGCTAAGATGAAGCATGACCACAGTTGAGATAATATTAAAAGGTGTACACACATTTTGATGTGACAATGAGTAATATATCTAGTGTAATAAAACAACCAATCTAACTAGAGAGTGAGTAGAAAAAATTAAATTAATTGAATTTAAAAAGACCAGAAATATAGGCAGAAAACAGATTTAAAAATGAAGCACACAGCAATATAGAGTAAGTATACATTTGACCTTTACATTAGTTGTTGCAGTCTTCTTGATGGTGGTCTTGATGCTGATAGTGGTTGTAGCAATTGCAACAGTGATTGAAAATAAAAAAAAAAAGAAGGGAAAGATGAATATGAAGAAGTGGATTCCAAGGAGTGAATTCCAACATATTCTGGAAGAAAGTTGAAGCCAAGGGAGAGCTGGTTATGTGTGCATATATGAACCTGTAGTATATTCTATATTTCTGTTTAAAAGATGTGCATGATGTATTGTAGTGGGTAAGAAGTTTATGTTTAGAATAGAGTTGTCTTAGAGTGGCAAAAAGTAGTGTGTTCAGTGACTGCGTGGGCAGAGTTTATGGTGTGATTAGACGTTCTATTACATTATTCACAATAACTTCTTGTTTTTCTATTGTTAAAAATCATGAATGACTCTGATACTTCACATGTGCCCGCTGAAAATGAATTGTGTAATGTTAATTCTTTCACTTAGTATTCTAAGTCCCTAAGCAGCTGACCTCCTTATAAAGGGCTATACATGTTAGTTATGACTCTTCCTCCTCTAAAAGGACATGTTTTGTAAAATTCTCCTTACTAGTCATATCATGAAAGAATGTAGTAAATTGCAGTAAACATTCAGTGCCAAGAATGTATGAATGGAAGACTCAACAAGCATAGATCTACACGTCAATAGATGGAAATATACAAATACTTCTTGGGTCTGTGTTTTAAAGGTACATTAACATCCATGGAAAGATTATTTTCCGTTTTTAAATATTTATGTGGTTTTAAAACAGTACAGAAGTTCTAATTTTGGCTGAGAAAAAAACAAAAAAGAATAATCTCTTGTTCTAATCCTCCCTGCTGTTAGCCTTTTTTTCTGAGACGGAGTCCTGAATTAATTTCTGTTCAAATTTTCTTCTGGTGTTATTTTGGTGTATATTTTTAAATTATATGATTTTACTAAAGGTGTTTGTTTGGATTTCATGCTCTTCTATGTAAGAGTTTAGCTCAGTTTTATCACCTTCATTTCTACTCCATCCTTGTTTCCAAATGTAGCTGAATCAGTAGTTTGTTTCTACATGGCAATTTGTCATTTTAAACAGAATACTGAAATCTAAATGTATTCAACCAGTCACAGATGTCCTCCTATCTTCTTTGTGGGATAAAGATGTTACTTAACACAATTTCCCCTAATTATGCTATTTTTAAGACAGTTACCAAGATATTTAATGTTACCTAAGGTACCATATATTTTGAAATGGATATATTTCAATTTTTTTCAATAAATTATTTGCTGATGTTTAATACAATTTTAGATCCAGTAGAAAAGTAATGTCAATACTCTCTTCAATGATTTATCACTCTGTTGTATTTTGATGAGCAGATTCCTTTGAAAATATCAGCATGTCATTTTATAACAAAGCATTAACTAAAGTAGAAACTTATTTTAAGAATAATTAGTATCCCATGAAGTTGGGGAAAAAATGACTTGGGTTTTATGTGGGTTATTGAAATATTTTACACTTTATTTCTGCATGTAGAAATACCAAGAAAAATTCTCAGGTTTCCAGGTCCCTGAATATGTGCAGGTATGATGGTTATGCCAAAGAAAGTGCTGGAAAGTCTTTTGAAGATTCACCAAAGATGGCTGAAAGTAAATGCAGATGAGAATGTAATTTGATTAAATTATCAAGACAGAAAATATGTTCTGAGAATAAAATTTTTCTAGGAATTTGGATAAAAGAGAAAATTATATACTTAATTTTCATTTTCACCAGATTGACAATTGAGTGTTCTTGGCCAATATATTCCCACTAGCTCTTACATTTTGCCAGCAGTTATCCATTGACTAAACACTAGATAGTTATTCTGATGGAATTGAAACTTTTAAATGATTAATTCCTTGATGTAAATTGCCTAGAGTAAATGCTGCCCCAGAAGTGTTAGACATATTAGCTGTAATTACCTTAAACTTATGATGTTATTTATCCAAATAGAAAAATTTGGAAGCTGATCTGGGCTGCATTTCAAGAAATTTGCATATGGAACCTATAAACAGTAGCTGGTTTCAGCCACATATTCTCCTTCTAGCAGGCATCCCTGGACTGGAGTCTGTACAAGTATGGATCTCTATCCCGCTGTGTGTCATGTACCTCACTGCCATCCTAGGAAACTGCATCATCCTCCTTGTCATCAAAACCACCTCCAGCCTTCATGAGCCTCAGTACATCTTTCTGTCCATGTTGGCAGCTACAGATTTGGGTCTGTCTATGTCAACTCTACCTACAGTACTCAATGTCTTCCTCCTGAATCACAGGGAGATTGAGTTCCACTTTTGTCTGACACAGATGTTCTTCATCCACATCTTCTCCTGCATGGAATCAGCCATCCTCCTGGCCATGGCCTTTGACCGGTTTGTAGCTATTCTCAACCCACTGCACTACACCATGGTTTTAACGCCTGCTAAGATTACTCAGATGGGGCTTACAGCTGTGGTTAGGGGCGTGATGTTGATAGTACCCTTGCCAATCCTCCTCAAGCGACTGCCCTTCTGCAAAGATGTCATTCTATCCCACTGTTACTGCTACCACCCTGATGTGATGAAGCTGGCCTGTGGCCCTGTCAGAGTCAACATGATCTATGGATTGTTCCTTGTCATCTGCCCCTTTGGAATTGACTCAGTGTTCATTTTCATTTCATACATCTTGATTTTGAAAACAGTGCTGGGTATTGCCTCAAAAAGTGGTCAGCTCAAGACACTTAATACCTGCGTTTCCCACATCTTCACTGTCTTCATTTTCTATGTGCCGCTCATTGTGCTGGCCCTAATTCATAGGTTTGGTAAATTCACATCTCCTCTTCTCCATGTCACCATGGCCAATCTCTTCCTTTTCTTGACTCCTGTCCTTAATCCTTTGGTTTATAGCCTGAAAACCAGACAGATAAGGTCAGCAGTGCATAAGATATTCAATGGCAGGAGAAATTTGCTCAAGTAGTAAAGTACAGCCCTACTGAAAAAGATACCCTGTCTCTTTCTTCCACTTTCATCTGTCTGCTTCTCTCTGGGGAATATGTCATCACTTCAAGAGATGGTCTTATGAGAATGAGATATTTTCTTCTTATCTGCCAAGAAGATGATAATATACTTAGCTGTTTTCTAAGAAGTAAATCTCCAAATATGGCACTTCATCACACTGTGAAGAGAGAGTAGGTATATGTGGAAATTGGTGTGGAATATATGCATTTTTCTTTTATTGTTTAAAGAAAACATGGAATATATAAATTGAAATACTGCGGAAACAAGATAGTTAACAGTAGTTTTCTGGAAAACAACAATGAAACTAGAATATACCAACAGAAAGGAAATAAGTTTCCTACATTTTTGTACCCCAAACTTCAGCATGATGAAATATACCAATATAAAAAAAAAACTGTACCCATACCTACTGCATCTAAAATAAAAGTTGAAATTAAAAAAAAAAAAAAACAACTAATAAAACTCATATTGTTTTTTCAAAGAATCATCCACTAACACAAGGGACACATCTAAAAATTAGGAAAGGCATACAGGATTGTTTTAGTGTTCACTAGACATTAGAAATTCAAAGCTGATTATTCCATAAAATTTGGTAATTTCATTGAAAGTTGATCTATCATATGATGTATGAATGAATAAACAAAAGTTTCAGCCAGAAAATGGAATGAAGTACTGATGTGCTACAACACAGATGATCTTGAAGAACATTATGCTAAGTGAAAGAATCCAGACACAAAAGGCCACCTATTACATAATTAAATTTATGGGGCACACTTAAAATAAGTAAATCTATAGAGACAGAAAGTTGACTGGTAGTTGCCAGGTGCTGGGTGGAGACAGGAATGATAAGCAGCTCCTTAAAGAGTATGAGGTTTTATTTTGAAGTCATAAATATATTCTGTGACTAGATAAAAGTGGTAGCTTGTAAAACACTGCAAATGCATTTCATTCCACAGAATTATTCATCTTAAGATTATTAGTTTTACATTATATGAATTTTTTCCTCAATAAAAAAGTTGTGAAATGTACCATATTAAATAAGATTAAGAAAAATGACAACAAAATGGAATGTTTGATACTAGAATGAATCATGATGGGGGGCAAAAAGCTCTTAAAGAATCTTATTGGTACCTTGACAAAATGAAAATACAAATGGGAAATTAGATTTAAACATTTTGTACTTATGTAAGAGGATGTCTTTATTCTTAGAAAGAAACACACTGAACTGTTTAAGAGTAAATGTCATGATGTATGCAACCTCCACTCACATGGCTAAGAAAAAATTTGTGTGTTGAAGGGAGAGTAGGAAGATATAGAGAGAAAGAAGTCATAAGAGACAGCACTCTAGTGCATGAATACAAATGTTAAAGGCAGTGAAATAAAATTTTAACAATAGATTAATTATGGTAAAGGCAATATGGCAACCTTTACTAGATAAAAGTGGTTGCTTGTAAAACACTGTGAATATATTGGATTCCACAGAATTATTCCTTAAGGTCATTAATTTACAAGAATAAGAATAGTATGTATTCAAGAATACTATTGCATTCTTATTCTTGTAAATTTTCTGTAAGTTTTAAATTATTTCCAAAGAAATCCTAAAGAAAATCCATGTGTCCATGGTCCAGCTTTAAAATACAGCATCATAAATACAGTTGAAACACCCTCCATATACCTACTCCGCCCAGAGAAAGCACCAATGTGAATTTGTGTTTGTTACCCCCAAACGTATCTTTATACTTTGGTTGCATATTTATATATACCTAAGCACTGTATCTGCATAAATAACTCTCTAAATATGTTGAGTGAAGATAGAAGGTAAACAAATAAGGTCAGCATTGATATAACAAGGATTATATAGTATGATACCATTTACATAATGTTTAAAACCATGCAAAATATTCAGGTCCAGGTGTCTCTCCTGGGACACCATATCTACAATTACTTGGCACAAGCCAGGCCAGGTCTTCTTCGTTTGAAAGTATACATTGTAAAGTACAGATCTGTTTTGCTGATTGATGAGAGAGGAATTATGTCTAGTGGATGTTTGGATAGATAACCTGAGTGCACATTCAGAAGAGACGTAATAGAACCTGTTCATGTATGGAGAGGGAGAAAGTGGACATGTGAAAAGGAAGGTCTTTGTATTTATATAAGAAAATTGCAGAGACAATAATCCTGATTGAGTCAACAGTTCCACAAGCAATACGTCTTGATTTTTCTCTCTTTCCTTAATGTACATTCCACAATAGTAGGAATGTTCTTCTCCTGTTCATACATTTATTTCTAGTGTTTGCATAAGAGCCTGGCACATAAAGCATGGAAATAAATACGTATTGCCTGATTTTAAAAAGTTTCATTATGCCCACCAAACCACTAGTCATTTTTCCTTCCTTTTTTACATCTTCTTCATTTTCATAACTTCTTAGAGGCTCACTGATACGTTTCACATTTGCTAGAATCTAGAGCTATAAAAATAATCCAGCAAATTTCTTTGGGTTTTAATCGTGTCTACTTAGGGAGGTAGGAAAGTCAATGGTGATATAGACCATATATCATGATAGAGGTAAGATCAGAGTCCTATGGAACTCCTTACTTTTAAAGTCTTTTTTAGTCATCTATTTTCATACATTCTATACAATAGGCTTTAAAAGTTAAGAAAAGTTGACTGCAGGGACTGAGATGAGAAAATGAGTAAAATATGAGAAGAGAAACGAGTAAAAGTCACAACAAATATCAATAAGTCAGACAAAAGTGGATTGGGTACATGAAGTAAAGTTGGCAGCATGCACTAAGACATGGGACAAAAACAGAGGGTGGAGGAATTGCAAGCAATAGAACGTAACAACAGCAGATACTCTTGAGGGAGGTCGAGGAAAGACAATGGCAAGGAGTGGAGATCAGAACTTTAATCAAGGTTTTACACTTAATTAACAGATCAACATTAATTTTTATATTTTATTTGTTAAAATTAATTTTCAGCCAATTTTATATTTCTCAGGGCACCAAAATGCTCTGCATGGAATAGATGAATGCCCACCATCATACTACTACTCACAATAACCAGGGTCACCCTGAACATCTGCTGGGAAATCATTTCACATACATTTAAAAAAAATTCAGCAATCTGCTTTTATTAGAGTTTTTATTTTTAAATCCCCTTAAATAAAGAGTATTTTAGTTTGCTATTTTCTCTATATGTTTCATGAATCTCTTCCTACTTTTCTCTTTCTCTATGTCACACATATGCAGCATGTATGCATGTTCACATGCACACACAAACACACATACCCCCAACATTAAAGATGTGGGTTGGGGAAAACAAAGTGGTTTTTCCAGTTCTCACACAGTCACTCAATACAGAACAGAACACTCTGACACCAGATATCTAAGGGCTTTTTTCAACACAACTAGCAATTCTGTAGTGGACACTAGCTGCATGTTCCCTAATTCAATTCAATTCTGACACTATCCACTTGGAGATAGTATAAAGTCTTAAAGGTTTAAGGGTTCAGTCCCATAAGATTATCACCATTTAGGGGTCATAGGACTAACAAATAAGTTACAGTCATTGAAACCGTGATTAAAATTTTAGATGTAACAAAAGGTTTAACTCCACTAATCGCGTTCTTAAAAGATAATCAAGAATTTTCTCAGACAAGGATGAAAAGCCCATAACAGGTATAGAGAGCAGCAAGTACAAAAAGTGTCTGCCCTAACATGCGTCGTTCAGAGAACGGAAGGTTGTTCAGTAAAACTGGAGTCTGGAAGAAATGGTGGACTGCTCAGACATGGACCTTGCATATCAAATAAGTTAGGATAAATTTATCAAATTGAACGAGGATTCTACTGCAAATATTCAAAATAAAGATTCAATGTGGGCCAGGCAGAGTGGCTTACACCTGTAATCTCAGCACTTTGGAAGGCCGAGGTGGGAGGATCACTTGAGCCCAGGAGTTCCAGACCAGCCTGGACAACAAAGTGAGAGCCTGTCTCAACAAAAACTTAAAAATTAGCTGGACATGGTAGCACACATCTGTTGTCCCCACTATCTGGGAAGTTGAGGTGGGAGTATAACTTGATCCCAAGAGTCATGAGGTTGCAGTGAATCGTGTTCAAATCACTGCACTCCAGCCTGGGTGGCACAGTGAGAGTCTGCCTCAAAAATAAAAAATAATAATAAATGCTTCGGCCAGGCACAGTGGCTCATGCCTATAATCCCAGCACTTTGGGAGAACAAGGTGGGTGGATCAGGAGGTCAAGAGATCGAGAGATCATGAGGTCCGGAGTTCAAGACCAGGCTGGCCCACATGGTGAAACCCCGTCTTTACCGAAAAACACAAAAATTAGCTGGACGTGGTGGCTCGTGCCTGTAATCCCAGCTACTTGGGAGGCTGAGGTAGGAGAGTTGCCTGAACCTGGACTAGGAGGCGGAGGTAGCAGTGAGCTGAGATGGCACCACTGCACTCCAGCCTGGGCTACAGAGCGAGACTCCATCTCAAAAAAAAAAAAAAAAAATTATTCTGGAGAACAGATGGTAAATCTCATGCTTTTTTTTTTTTTTTTTTCATCTTTTTCAGGTTCATTTCTGAAGTATAACTTAAATACAGTGAGCTTTACTCGTTTTAGGTGCACAGTTATAAGATTTTTAACAAATAGTTGTACATACTTTCACAAAAACACTGCTACAGACAATGTCTGGAGCCCACACCACAGTTGCTTCTCAGTTCTGGCTATGGGGGTCCCTCCCTTGATATAAATCAGGTTGGCAATCCCCAGCCTGAGACTCTTTAATCCACTGATTGCTCTCCATGCTGACTGGTGGGTTCCTGCACAGCCCACAGTAAGTCAGGATCAAGCTGGCTTCCTTTATTGGCACTCTGTTCTGGGAGTGCACGCAGGACACTTCCCAGTGCCATTCCTTTCTATAGTCTCTCACCTCCCCAAGTCAGATCCAGGTTTTGGGAGGGTCAGAGAGATCGCCTGTGGCCTGGATTGTCTAGCTCCCCAGAGGAAATGTGTATGGCAGAGACACTCCCTTCCCCTCTCATGCACTAGGGATTTGTTCATGGTTCTCCACTGAACCCTGACACATGGGCTGCTTCCCATCTTCTTTTAAGCAGTATCCAAAGATTTGTTTCACGTTTTTGTTAAACTCCAGTGTTCCTCCTTGGATACAAGTTCACAGTGTGAATCTGTACACACTATTTCACTATTTCCAAGTGGGTGAGGTGTGCTGGCAAAAAGTGTCTATTTGGCCATCTTGAGGAGAAAAAAGCTTCCTAATTTCTTCTTAAAGCATCAGTTTATTTCATAGATTTTGTGATCATTATTCTTATTTATTTATAATTTTAATTTTTAAATTTCAACTTTTATTTTAGAT